TGCCATCATGACACATTCATCAGCTATCAGTACTGTCCATTGTGGTCACATGACTTTGTAATGCTGATGCAAAGTAACACCCATGCTTTTATTATTTTATTTTGTTTTTTATATTAAAAATTTTTACTTGTATTTGATTTATAGTTTATTAATTTATATTATTAATTTAGTGTTTTCAATGAATATTTTATTTATATATAGTATTTCATTCATCTTAAGCATTTAATTTATTTTCATAGTATGGTGTCAACGTACATCTAAAAAATTCACATGGACAAACGGCGCTAGATATAGTTAACAAGTTCACATCAACAAAGGCAGCACAAGAAATTAAACACATGTTAAGAGGTATGATATTGACGCTGCTTTAGGGAAATAGATAAGGTTTTATCTTCATTTATTGCACTCATGTTGCAGGAAACATCATTCATAATCATCATTGTTATCATCATCATAATTATTAGCATCTTAATCATCATCCTCATCACTAGTATCATCAAAGCCATCATCTTACCCACCACCGTCAACGTCATATCTATCACCTTTACCGTCATATCACCAGTGGTGGCTCCGGAAATGTGCCGATGAGGGGCCGGCATGTCTAACAGCGGGGTCTGAAACAAGAGGCTGACTAGAACCTTGATCAGGGTCCCGGAATAAAAATCCCTGGTAGGGTTGATGGTGAGAGTTTTTATGGCTTAGTAAGGCCCAAAATTGTACTTTTAGACCACAATATTAGGAATTGGCAATTGGCAGAAAACGTTTTGGATAGGCAAATTAATATGCATGGCGCCCCCTGTCTTCCGCTGGCTCCACCACTACTTATCACTCTCACCATCAAGTACAACATTATCATTGTTATCATTATCTTAATTATCTCCAACTTAATTATCGCCATCAGTTATATCACCATCATCATCTTTATCTATGATAACCCCATGATTATTATTTACTTACATTTTCAGAGGCTATAGGTGGGTTCCGAGCGAGGGCACTGCAAGACTACTGCAGAATCCACGATAGGTCTTGTTTATCATTCAAAGCAGGTGAAATCATTAATGTAAGTTTCCCAGCCTGATTTTTTTTGTTTTATTGTAATTTTATATTATTATATATATTTATGATATTTGCTAATTGGTTATTTTCATGGTAAGGTGTATTATGAATGTCCTCCTGAGTGGAGAGAAGTAATGCAGATAAAACGCTTTGCTCACGGACACAAGCGAAATGCACAGCGAGGGATTGAAACCTCGACCTCCTGGTTGGGAAACCAAACTGTTCCCGCAGCGCCAAACCACTTCCACAGTCAATCAATCAAGCAATCGCCATCATCATCATTTTAACTCCATTCTTAACTATACTTATCACTACTATCATCAACATCCTGATAAATATTTGCTTTTTTTTGTTATCAATAAATGATTACCTTACTAATTACTGTCATTATTCTTTCATATCTTATCTGGGATAGTAACGTTGTGTTGCTTTTTGGCAATCCGACCAACCAGCCATTAATAAATATATAAAATGATTGATATGATATGATATGTAACTCTGAGGGTGTAACATCAGTGCATACAAGTCAGCCTTCAGCAGGATTTGACACATTTACTAGATTAGGATTCAAAGTTGTGTCAACCAATCATTGGTAGGTGTTGTTGACAGAAACAGAATGAAATATGGTAAAAATCATCTGCCCACTAATATGACTTACTGCCTGGGCATAAAGGGTTACTCTCTGAGGCAGCTGGGTGCAGAAGAAAATGATGAATGTTCTGAAATGGGATCTTCGAAACAAGAAGATTAAGTCTAGCCCAGATGGGTTAGGATGACTTGTCTGTCAGTAGTCTAGCCCAAATGGCATGGCATGGCGTGTCTTGTCGCCTATACACCTGTCAGGGTAAAGGCTCTAATATCATGAAAGCAATGGCTAAAGATTATCTTTCTGTCATATTGTTTCTGATTCTATCATGTACATTGCCCTTAAATATCAACCTAGCTGGAAGGTTCACCCTCTATAAAGATTGTTAAAATAAAATAAATAAATAAATTGGACTAATAAATTTGAACAATTCAGTTAAGTATTTAAATTGTATATAATTATTGTATGTAAGTTTGTACTTAGAGAATTAAACCATAGAAATATTCCTTCCATCTGTGGTGAAATATATGGTTCCTAAATAATTTGCAATATATCATTAAAGTGGGTAGCATTAAATATAAGGATTTTCCTAGTGAAAGGTTTATATATCACCAAGAACTTACCTCTGCTGAGACTAAACCTGGTCTTGCGGTATGATTGCACACCAGTAGTCTCGGTTTCCCATTGCTGACTCCAGCTTATGTATGTTATTGAGGTTGGTACCTTGTTTTAGCAGCTATGTATTTTTTTTCTGAATTTAATAATCCATAACAAACAGCATAAAATCAATAGAGTTAATGAATTTGGAAGGAGAGCATAGTTTCTACCAGACAATTATTATAGCTCTATACCAAATACTAATTTGTTATGGACTTGAATTTTTTGCTAATAAAACCAAAATAAACACTGCCCTCAGTTGTGTACTTCTATTAAATACTCATTAATATCATCACCATCATCTCAAATAAGAATAATATTAAAGTATATAAATATAACAATGAAAGAAATAAAAGTATAAAATAATTTTGAAATATGCATATACCAAATTTAAAAAGTTAATTTACCCACTTTACAAGTGATTGTATTTACAGATAATTCTATAAGGAGTAAATTGTTTTAACACAAGCATAACCCCTAGTTATTATTTATACAAAATGTGATTTTAGTTCGTGAGCCCTGGCTTTCAATACCTGTTTTGTTGGCTCTTGGAATGCAATCAATATTTGATTGTAATTGATACACATGTTATTGCATTCTACATATTGTGTTTAATCTTTTGCTAGATGAATTGGCAAACTAACAACAACTAGGTCTATGCATAGAGGTCGAGAGTTTAAAAATCATTATAATCATAATATGTTAGTACTGAATGCTATGTATTAAAAATGGTAATTATTATCATTATTGTAAACAGTAACAATTGACTTTTTGAATTACTAAGTAACACTAACAAGCCCCCTGACCCATCATCATCATTGTGGGGGTGGATTTAAAGCAGCCTTGACAGGACCCTCGCTGCAAGTAACCATAACATTTCTGTGAAACTAATGCTGTATAAAACCGAAAGGTCCACTGATTAATCTCAGATAAGAAAGTATAATACATACTCCAAGTATTGAAATACACGCCATCGTGTTGGGATTCAATATTTCGACATTAATTATGTCATCATCAGGAATGATGATGATGACATAATGATGACTGATGATGACATAATTAATGCTTTATACCTGCAATTATTGTAAATCAATATTATGATTTACAATGCATACATGAAAACAGAAGAATTATCATTGTCATCATCTATATCAATGTCATTGTGCTTATCTTCTTTATCATTATCATCATAATCACCATCATCATCATTAATATTAAAAAAAATATATATAAATAGATAAAAAATATGCTACAGGCTACAGCAGAATTCTTGTATTGTTTTTTAGCTCATATCCAAGCCTCAAGTACTTACATTAACACCTCATTGCAATGAAGACAAATATATAGAGCTGAAAAACATGGTAATGTTGAAAGTCATGAAAAATGGCTCTCAGCTGAAAGTCTGTTGCAATGCCATAAGAAAAAAAAGCTGTAATTGGGAATTTAAAAAAAAAATACAGAATGAAGGAATAAACATAAATCAATTGTAGTTGGATGGAGGTTTTTCAGATGTTGAAATTTATATAATTGAGTGGAGGTGTGACTTGCCTTCAAATTCCAGGTAATAATAATACTAACATTTTTTGTAATTCAAGAAATAACACCCCCTCATTTTTTACATATGTTGTGAAGATGAGCTAAACCAGTCACTCCTCGCAAATCATGCTTTGGAGATGATGACCAAAACATGTTGAAATGTCAACTTTTTCAAAATCTATTTTATTGCATTAATATAATATATGTATACATCATGCTGTGTTGCTATTTTCCCATTTGAATTTCCCAAAGTTGTAAACATTTAAGCCTGATGTCACATTTAATGTTATTTGAACAGTTGTATGTTTAAACCTCTGTAACTTCACAATAAAATTTATAATTTAAATTATTCTTTTACCATTTTATAACTTTCATTTTACTGACTGGTTTGGATTGTGTTTTCCACATATAAGTTAAACCTTAAACATTATTAAATATTATATAAATTTGTAAAAAATGATTATATTATACAATAGTATGTAAATGATAAAAAGCTTGTTTTTATAGTGCTTTAATGTAAACAGTAGCAAATGAAAAGTGTGTTGATGGATTATTTGAACTAAAATATGAAATAGATCTGTTCACACTAGTTGACTTAGATATATTGATCCCATAGTTGGAAATTAAATACTCGGGCCTCATTTGACATCAGTACACATACGAGATAGATAACACAGCTTAAGATGTAAGAGTTCGGTAGATTTAACAAAGCCAGTCTATCTACCGTGCTTAATAGACATTACTCAACTTTAATTCACCGCCAACACAATACTCCCACTCTACTAATCATAACGTAAGTGTTACAGTTTTGGTTGAAATTACGACCTTTTATTGATTCTTATCAGCTAAACTTTTGTCATAAATTTAAAGGTTTGATGTCACCTACTTGTGTCTGTGATGTCATTGACTTGTACGTACTGTATATAGTTATTATTTGTTGTAAATATCTACACTTGGTATCATATATAGTAAAAAATAACTGTTTTTAACTTGTCAATGTAAAATTTTCATCCTGATGTATATAAATTAATTTGTACCTAAGTATCAGTGGATACATTGTAGAGTTGAATACTGATGCATTAATAACTAGGAGCTGTGATAATATGTAAACAATAATAAAATTACTTTACTAATATTTTTAGATATTCAAAAACCTTTTAAAAAAATATATTCAAAAATAACCCAATTTTTTATTTATTTATTTTTTGGGGGGATTGGGGAGAAGTGTTAAGCGAAATACAAAACATCGACATCTCAAAGTTAAAATTCAGTATTAATCATGTAACATAAGCCTAGTTAGAAGGATCTTGTCTTGTTAATAATTGTCATTATTTTTTTATACATCTGTTTGATTTGTTGTTTTGAGGTGGATTTGAATCCTGAAGCCCATTGGTTAATATTTGTTTACTAAGTTAGAGTAACCACTCTACAACTATTCATTCAAAATGCGGGTGTTTTATGATATTTTTAAAGAGTGCTCATCTTCAAATGTGCAACATTTGCTGGCAGATTTTGATTTCAGTAAATTGCTCTTTTACATACCATCATTCTTGTGGAAAAATTCAGATTGAAATTAGACAGATAAATCACAATTATTTTTTTTTGTACTTATAGATCCTGGAGCAAAATTCTGATGGACGATGGAAAGGTTCAAAGGAAACCGACCAACAAAAGGCTATTGGATATTTCCCAGCAAATTTGGTTGAAATTATTGAAGATGTAGCTATGCAAGGTAAGCAGTCTTTGTATTTACAAATCCTATGCTTCAGGAATTTGAAAATATGCTTTTTTTTCATTTGAAAAAAAGCAACTGCAAATTAAACTGAGTTATTTTTAATGTTTTTCAAAGAATTGGATGCAAATGGGTTGGTTTCATCAAAGTAATTGTTATTATTAGAAATTTGTTAAAGAAATTAAATAGAATAGAAAATTTATGCTTATAAAATCCAATATTTTGTGGAGTAATTCTGTAGTTAGAGCTACAGATTAGATGGAAATAACTATAGAAGTTTAGTGTTAAAATCAGAACGGGCTCACACCTATTTCATCATAAATTTATGTTTATTGTAGCGCATATAGAAAATGAAACTTAATGCTAAGAAACATTAAGAAAAATTATCCTCATTGTTCGATAAGTATGAATATCCAGCAATTTGGCCTATATAATGAATTTGTTCCCACACATCTATTAGTAAAAAGTAATGAATTTGTTATTGTATACTGTATATTTCCAGCATCTGTAAAGTTAAGTGGGGAATAGAGTAAATAGTCAGCTCTTATCAAGTAGGTACTAATATTTACCCTAGTGTTCCACTGAAAGTAAATCTTATACAAATTACAACGTATTATTGGTCTCAGCATGTGCAAAAAAAAAATCTGTTTATTGACATAAAACAATGCTGACAATGATATTGAGTGAATACGGCCTATGCAAGGCTATCTATAGCTGGTCATGTTTACAATGTATACTGGAGATAATAACAATCTTGCAATAATAGGTGATTTGTTTGGTAGGTACACACTTCAACGAAACTACTGCCAGGGTTGAACGATAATGACAGATATCAAACACATGCAGATACATTAAAGATATTGGTACCATAGCTCAAAAGAAAGCTCAGGTTGTCTGGATTTTAAGTTGTACTGTAAAGATAGTTACTTAAGGTGTTTGTGAAGCTACTTATTGAAATTACGGAGAACACTTAAAGCTGTTGTGAGTAACTTGAGAAGTGGTTAATTTTTATGGTGCAGTCAAGGGCCATGGACCTTGTGTAATGGGGGTCGGATCATGTCACTGACTTTAATTGAGTTCTCATCTACTCTTTTGTCAGTGTGCCAATATCTCACCTGGTCTTATGGAACACTTTTTCTCTTGTTTGTATTAAATCTGCCTGCTTTCCCATAAGCTGTTTCTTGTTACATTGTACAGACCATGTGAGGGCACTATATAATTGCTATTTATTAAGTTAAAATATTACATTGAGGGCACTCTTGACCCCCTCATAGTTTCACATGTACTTGACCATGTCAAAGGTTGTGGTAATAAACAGGCATAGCCACAGTTTTTTTTATTTATTTATTCTTTATAGAAAGATTGATCGTTATGGTATAAGCTAATAGTTGTTAAGTTGAAATATTACAAAATGTTGAGGGCACTCTTGACCCTCTCATAGTTTCAAATGAACTTGACCATGTCAAAGGTCGTTTTAATAAACAGGCATAGCCACAGTTTATTTCTTCTTTCTTTATAGAAAGATTGATCTTTATCATGGTATAAGCTAATATTTATTAAGTTAAAATATTACAAAATTTTGAGGGCACTCTTGACCCTCTCATAGTTTCACATGCACTTGACCAGGTCAAAGGTTGTTTTAATAAACAGTCATAGCCACAGTTGATCTTTGATAGAATAATAATAATAATAATAATAATAATAATAAGTTACATTTATATAGCGCATATTATGCAGTGCCTCTTTTAAAATGAAATTATAGAAAACATGTTGACAATACAACAGTAAGGTGTGGTGGGAAAACAGCTAATTACTTCTGAAAAACTATTACATTTTACTAATGTTTTTGTTTATTATGCCTCAAAGTACTGCATTACACATATGTTAATGTGCGTGTGAAGCTACAAGGTTGCTTATATTAGATTAAAACTGACATGATGAACAACAAAGATTAATTGTAAAATTGATTTCACTTCCAAATTGTATTGACTTCGACAATAAAATATCGGATGATTAATATTATAGTGAATAAAATTATAGAGTGAATATTGTGGATTGTGGTATTTGATGTTTTTAAAATGTATCCCATCTGCAGACATAAATTCTTTTGTTTAATCCCGTTGGTGAAACATTAACGAAAGTTGCGACATTTAAACTTTTAATATCAGCATAATGACCTCACTGTTGTTAATCAACACCACTGTATACATTTTAAGTCTGTTCATAAATACAAGTCTATTTTGGGTGACATGTTAAACTTGTGCATGTGTCTGACAGTTTGCTTGTATGTTTTGTTTTCTTTGACGTGCATGAATGCAGACACTGTTGGTCCAAGATCATTATTTCATCATCATGTGCTCTATATATAGTTAGGTATGATTGTTCAGAGAAGAATTTGTTATTGTCATTTAGAATCTATCCTAAGATCCTGGAATCCTTTGTATTCCCTTGGATTTTTCATTAGGACAAGTTATTCTCATAGCATTATGTTATGCATGGCAAGATGGCGATTTAAAGAGTTTTGAATGTCCCTTTTGTTTTTTGTCTGCTAAACTCCTTGATTTTATGGTATAAAACTTTAAAAGGAAAACTTTTATGGCCAATTGTAAGCTGTTCTCGGTTGCTCTAGAACTAATTCCCAAAGAATTGTTAACCAATTTGATGCTGTTGCTGCTGTCATCATGGTTTTGCGGATGTTCTGTTGGCTATTGTGTTAATGTATGTTTGTGCATTCTTATCATGTAGACAATTATTTAAGAAGATTGGACACACATTTTCAACAAGAGCAGTAACAAATGACAACACCTTGTCAACAGCCTAATTTTCAGAAATGACACTAACCTCCATTAAATTTTACAAGTACAATACTACCTCCATGCTCCTTAGTAGGCCCACAAGAATTGTGGTAACAACCTACTGAATGAAAACATTAATTCTTTATTAATTACTTCTGCGCCAAGGAAAGGCTGGAGGTGCTTCCCTCTGTGTACTGTGCCATTGTAGATTATATGAAGGGACGATCTTAACAGTTTATATCAATGTTTAATAATAAAAGAAGACAAATTTCAAGAGAAATATTCATAATAGTTAATAATAATAATAATAATAATAATAATAATAGATGGATTTATATAGCACAGATAAACGAGGTCTCTATGCGCTTGGGACTAGATGTTGCACTTTTCAATAACTTTCTCCTCCCCTGAGGGTCACTTCATGTCCACCGCAGCCAGTAAACTGGTGCACTTTCATCTGTCCATGACAGGGGCTGAATGAACCAGTACACCGGGGTAACCCCCTACTCATCTCGAAAAATGTACTGGGTTCTTTAAAGTGCATATGAGCATTTGTGTACACTGGGCCTACGGTTTATAGTCCTTATCCGAGAAGACCACCACCAGAACTATAGGAGCGAGCTGGCCGCGAACCTGTGCCGATATTGTTGGCTGTGATCACAGTGCCCCTGCCTTAACCGCTCAGCCATTTGGCTCGCTTAGTTAAATAATGTATTGTAGAAGATAAAGTTTCCAAAATGCAGTTAGGCCTTTTTCTGTATAAAGTATACTTTGTTGATTAATCACTATCACAATAATATTACATCAGTACTGAATAATGAAGATATAATAACAGTACAGTAGTAGTCGATGTTCAATGGCTGTGCACATTCGTCTTGATGCACTTTTCAGGACCGCAGAAAAAAAAAGCGAAAAAAAGAATAAATGCTTGAAATTTTTAGTAACCATAAAGCATATTGGTGATGATCAAAAGATATCCTATCCACGTATGCTTCAATGTAATAGAAAATAAGTAGACAAAATAAAAATAACATTTAAATAATGTTTAATTGAACTTGGTAATACATACCTATAATTGCTGTACCAAATTGCTATCATAAAAGTTTATAATTGAAGTTGTAGATTTGCTTTCTCAGTAAAGCGAGTTAAGGAGATTTTAGGCAGGCAATTTGGTTTACTGATTTAGGAGGTGAAATTTCATAGTACTGTATCTTTAACATAAACTGTGACTAATTACTTTTAAAAAGTGATCCACTCTATTTTAAGCCTTGTAAAGTCAAATTTGTATTGGATTCCAGATTTACTATTTATTTGAGGATTATTTGTTCAGAAATGACGGCATGTTCAGACGTTATGCGTTTGACGGCTTGTTCAGATGTTGCTATAGCGATACATGCACTTGGTGGTTGTATCAGAGAAATTTCAGTAGATTTATAGGTCCATGGTAACTGTTTTTGAGTTGAGTCTTTTGTAGAGTATGTTATTTAGTGCCCTGCACTATACACCATACACAAATTACATATACCTCATAAATATTAGCAACATTACATAGGTCAATTCCACCTAGTAAGGGTTGTAGTATCTTCCATGCACATGCCAAATTGACAGGTCATGGGGAAAAAAGTACTACCCAAAATTGACTACCACACCCCTGGCTACATGAACTATATGTAAACTGTGTAATACTACCCAGTATGATAGCAGTACTTTTAAGACTAACTTGTATAAAATTTAATCCCTAGCTTTTGTCAACACAGTGGACTTCATCGGCAGGAGACGTACAAATGGGATAAAAAAACATGTATAATACATCAGAACACCTCCCTTTGTACAGTTCACACTGCTTTGCATTAATTTATCTTCTCTTCATTAAAAAAAAAGTCATTTCAGTAGCTTACTACATAGTTGAAAATATTTAATTCATATTTGATAAGTAATTTCCTATAAATACACACATATAATCTAATGCACGCTTACCCCCAGTGATTTATAGGGGAATGCACTTTCGAGAAGCGTTAATGTGTGACTTCTATACCTGCTGAGTCCTTTATAGTGTGAAAAAATCATGATTTATATTTGGTATATTGTCAAGGAAGGTGTTTTTTTTATATCATAGTTTGTACAATCAACCAAGTAGAGTTATTTATTTCATTTTTTTATATTTTGTTTAATTCTATCACCTTGTGCAGCTCACTTGTTAGTTAT